ATTATTTTCCAAAGTTATATTACGATGGTATCCTCCAAAAGCTCATCACAGTCTTCACTTCAAGTTCCGTCATCCGGTAGAACCCTGCAACCACCAAGCCCTGATCGCCGACAACAAGGGTTTGTGATTCCCCCAAAAGACTCACATACCGCCGTTTCTTCATCACTTACACCTCAAGTTGAATCATCCAACCCCGAGCTTCTTGTTGGTGGAAGTGTATCACCTCGACCAGCAGGTCCTGTGAACAAGAAGTCCAAGGACCAAGGACCAGCAACATCGAAACCAAAGGCAAAGCCAAAGCCCTCAAAATTTTCTCATTTTTATTCTTCAATGGTCATTTGTTTTTCTCTTTGTCCTTTTTATTATCAATGGTCACTTGTTGTTTCTTCTTTTCTCTTTTTTTCTGCCATCAAACTGTTTTTACCGGCCGTTGCGCCGCAATAGATCGCAATTTTGCGCACTAGATCGCGATATTGCGGCGCAATCAAAAGCCCCGCTATATTGCGCGCAATATAGCACAATATTGCGCTGTGAGCGCTCCGCAACCTGGCGAGAGAATTTATATATATATATAGCGGAGCATTGCGTTGCGCCTGACAGCGCAGCCTGCGCTGCGCAACGCCCGGGGGGTCAAAATTCATCGTGTTGCGTAGCGATTTCGGTATTGTGCTGTACACTGGTGTAGGTCTCACGGTTGGACTACATCTTCCAATGCCTGCGTGTCAGAAAGGGGTGCGTAGTGGATAGTAGCTGCTACCTGGTTGCACAAGCCTTTGAGTATTCTGGACTTGCTAAATCAGCCTCAAATGTCAGGTGGTGGGCGCGGCGCATTCGGCACGCCGAAGGGCGCGTCAAATATGTCTCAAAACAGGGGGTGGCGTGCCCATATGCAAGACTTGTATAATCTGAAGCGTAGAAGGTCTTCTTGGGACTAATCTTGGGCTAGAGGAAGCCTATGAAATTGTAATTTTAGTCCGTTTAACTTTCAAGCTTGGGTCAAGTGGTGGGCGCAAGCTTGAGAGAAAGTACGCGCCTGGGCGCGCCCTCATTTTGGCCAAGGGTGCAAGAGGTGCAAAAAATATACAAAAGTGAGTCACCTTTTTGATGATGCTTCATCAACCACATCTTCTACATCCCAAGAAATATTGATACTCTCATATAAACACCCTATAAACAACTTTATCAGCAATAGTGCAACAGAAATCAACCAAATCAATAAAAAAACCAATCAACATGTGTTGCAATAAGATGTATTCCAAAATTTTGTTGTTAGGGTACCTGTCAATCCAGACGTAAATGCTTCCATGACTGGAAGAAGATGGTGTGGGGTGGTACCCAAAACACATATTGATTCATCAGAGATGATTTGAAGGTGTGTGATAGCTGAAAACCTCATAGATCACATGCTTTGGTTCATGGGCGCGCCCACTCCAATTCACACCTAAAAAGATGTGTGCGGCGACGCCCACGCCAGGCGCGTACACCACACCCACTACATGACACTTGGGAAATTTCTGCTATCAATTGCTCATCTGAGTCTGGAGACACTTAAATAGTTCTTGAACAAAAATTCTCGGTGATTTTTATCCTAAAAGTGTGGTCATACTGACTTGAAACAGCTTTTTTCACATCCCCATTTGTGTTTGACCTTCATCACAGCCTGGATTGCTGTTTCTGTAAAGATTTTTTCATGTTTTCGATGTTTTTTTGCTTCAAAGGTGCGCCCACACGATCACTTTTTATGTCCTCCAATAACCTCATTTTGACTCAAAACATTGTTTACATCCACCAAAATCTTTGTCTTGACTTGAAGAATGCTCTTTTGGTAGGTGAAAAGGTGATATATGTGGTTCTTAAACACCTGTCTGACCAATCTTGAGTTGTAGGTACTGCATCACAGCCCCCCAAAAATGTTGGTTGCATGTGGAACCGGCAAGGTGTTTATCTACCTTGCTTTCCAGCACGGTACAATAGGTTTTGGATTACATCTCAAAAAAAGGTGGCAAATACTTAATGGCTTCAAATGAGGGAGATGCCTAGCTTCTTCAACCTATTCACTTTATTGTGTTCTTGTTTTTTCCCTATTTTTCTGATCTCACATCAGTCTTTCTTTTTTGATTGTTGATGGTTTTTTACTACAATGTCCTTTTCTTATGCCGTCTATACCAACATTCTTATTTATAATCTGTGCTATGCTCTCCATTTTTATGCAGTCTCTTCACTGCCCAAGTTTGTCTGAAAATTAGTGGCTCTCAAACCTGACCCAGTTTCAAAAAACCCAGTTGCCCCAGGGGAATTTTTGGCTGGGAGCTTTCAACAAATGTCAACTTGATACACAAAGTTACTTCCAAAAAACAACTGGGTCAACTGGTTTTTTTGAAACTGGGGCAGGTTTGAGAGCCACTATTGCTCATGAATAATGGATTTTTTGGCAAATTTATACCCTCTTCTGACCGCTTTGTTTAATGATGCAAATCTTTGCATCCATAAAAAGGTGTCTCAGAAGAGCCATAGCAGCTTTCCTGGCCAAATTTTGGTAATTGAGTACAAGATTGCTGCGCAGATGCAAAGCTCAAGTAAAGCTTTGTATAGTGCAGGGTGCCAAAATTGTGTCAATTTGGTTGTTGGTGGGCGGTCTCAAAAGACATTCCAAACATAACAATGTAAGTGATGAAATAAAAATCATGAAAAGATAGAAAATAGAAAGAGAGAAAGAAACCAACAAATGAACACAAGAGTTTTTTGATTGTCCACACTGCAATTTCTGATTGAAAATGACGGAAATTTATTGCTACTTTTGACAATTTCTGGCTTCTTTATGGGGGGAACTGGCTAAAGAGGCCACCATCCTATGTTAATCAAGAAAGCAGTGAAGTTGTTGTTGGATAAATCAAGTGCAGAGGTTTTCTTGCTGGAAGCAGTTGGTGAAAGAGATGGCCCAAACATAGGAAGGCAACTGGTGTTCCAATGTTTGAATTTGAGTCAAGACAGTGGTGGTATTGGGGGGGCCAAAGCTATGCCCTGGTTCTGGTTGGGGATTGAACTGGGATTGAGAAGATAGACAAACAAACCAGTGTGGATGGTACATGATGTTGTTGGATCCAGATAACATAGTCTATTTACAGCTATGCTGTGCTGTGCATCAGCTGTATTTGTACATGGCACTGGAGGAGAAAGATTGACAACTTTTTCTTTTGGAGGAAGTTGTCTTTGTAGCAGCCATACAGGTTTAATTTTTCTGTATTCTTCCAATAAGCCAAGAGACAAAACCAAGTGAGAGGCAAACCCCGGGTTTTTCACATTGATGAGATTTTCAAAAAAAGATCAATCTACGTTGAAACAGCTGTACAAAAGATTGACCAAATTTTCCTGCAAAACGCAAGAAATTGGTGGTGAATCGGTGACAACTTTTCTGAACTGTGGTGTCCAGGCTGCACCACACAAAATCCCAAATCATGCGGGAATGAGGCTTCTCAAGCCACAAGGTTCACTTGAAAGAAGGTAAAATATGGTAAGGGAGTTTAAGAGGTTTTAGTTATAAATAGAGAAATCCTGAAATCTTCTGATCATAACAATTCCAATCATATACCTTTTTGTTGAAAAAAGTGGTCAGGTAGAAATTGTCTCTATCCCAAAATATATCTTTTCTGCAAATATTCCCAAAAAAATTGGGTATGACCTTGACACTCAGAAGGAAACATAGTCTTCATGAAATTCAATGGTCGACCACACAATTCAGGTTTACATAATCCATGGCCAAGGGTTGAATTCCTATAACACTCTGTTTCCCTATCAATGAAAGCTTTTGTAATCTGGGCAAACCCTATCAAGTAACCAAAAGAAAAGAAACATCATACAAACTTTTGCCAATTTCTATAAGAAGAGAAAGATTCAAAAGAGTAGTGATATCATATTTCTTTAAAACAAATCTCTATAGTTTTTGTTTGGAAACGCACAAATGGATTACAAAATAAAAAAAAGAGCAAGAAGATAGAGTCCCTAAATTGTTTTAACCAATTTTCCATTTACATCATATAATAATCCTCTACTGTAGCATACCATCCCCTTCCCTCCTCTTTTCACCTTTCAAAAAGACTTATATAACGTTTAATCTAAAAATAATATATCAAGGTACAAATCACAATCACAATCACACACAAAAACATTCACACAAACACATTTTTTTCAAAACAGGCAAAAAAAACTAACACATACTTAGTTGAAGAAATGAATGACAAAAAAACCAACAAACATATATAATTTGGAAAAAAAATTAAGAGAAGAACACAAAATGAGAGAAAAAGAAAAAAAGAAAAAAAGAAAAAAAGAAAAATTGAGTTCTGGATTTTTTTTCTAAAAAAAGGAAAAATCAAGTTTCTTGTTTTTTTTGTTCTTTCATCAGACAGCTATATCTCTACAAGTTGGACAAGTAGCACTACCTGTCATAAGCCATTGATCCACACAACTCCTAAGAAATTGAAAAAAAACAAAGATCATTAGTTGAAATTGATCAAAGTTGACAACTTTTCAAAACAGGGACAGAAAAATCAAGTGACTCACTTATGAAACAAATGTTTACATTTTAATAATCTTAATGTTTCATCCTCAACATAATCTTCTAAACAAACTAAAAAAAGTCCAAAAAAAAAATCTCAAATCCCATCCCCAGAAAAACAAAAAAAAGATCAATTTTATCTCAAAAACTTACTTAAACATTTCTCAATAGTATTTTCCAACACATCACCATCCCTCAAAACTCTTTGAATAATCTCATGTTTAAATTGAACCAAAGTTAAATCAGCATTTTCAATTTCATTTGCTGTAACCGTCATGGGTTTATGTACTCCAATCAATTCGGCTAATCTCATCATCGTTTCATAATCCAATCGATTATTATGTTGTACATTTCTTCGAGTTTCTGAGTCTGATTCTCCTAATTGTTGGTTTCCTTCTGGAATATATTCGGTTGGTGTATTAAAGATTGGATGCCTATGTTTTTATCAAAAAGAACTAATTCAATTTTCCAAATTTTAACAAAATGTTAGATTAACAAGATGACACTTACAATGGAGGATAAAGTCCTGCTAAAACGAATATTAACCAAGATCTTGGTTCTTGAGGAGGCGACGAGGGTACTTGTGTGGTTGGTAAAGGATCTATTGAGGGTGGTGATAAAGGAACTGATGATGGGTCACTTGGTTCCAACAAGTCACTTAATCTATTCTCTCTACTTTCCTCTTCTTCATTATGTCTTTGTTCATCTTCATCCACCCAAAACTCATCGTCTTCTTCAGGTACTTCGTGATCGGTTTCCTCAAACAACTCTCTGAGTCCTTCAAACATTTCATCATCATCTTCTTGTTGATTTTGTATCTCTTCTTCATCTTCATCAATTCTACCACCCCTTTGATTAAGATTAGGTGAAGCTGATCTCACACCCACTAATAAAACAGGTATCAATCCTTCTTCTCCTCCTACCCCATTCTCAAACCGATGCATTCTAAAAAAATTAAACGTTTCATCTTCACTTTCTTCTTCTCTTCTATTTCCTCCTAGTGCTTCTAAGATTGCGTCTCCTACATCTGTTTGTAATGAACTCAAAAAGTTTTCAAAACTATGATCGGTTTCAGCTTCTAGTGTTGTATCTGGTTCTTCTTCTTCGCCATTTCGATTGTTAAGTAATGATTGTAATCCTAAGCGTCTCATGATTCTACTTCCGGTATGAATGGTACGATCAATTGGAGTTGAAGGAGCAGGTGTCATTGGAGAAGAAGGTACAGGTGTAGGGATAGGGATTTGATGGGTGGGAGACACTCCATTCATCAATGCACTACCAAAAGCAACCCTCAAAGCGTCTCTTAATGTGTTTTGTAATCCGCCATGTAGTTCAACTTGTTCAGCATTCGTTGTCATGGGACTAGGACTCAGAGGAGGGGTAGCGTTAGAGATATTCGTTCCATCTGGGTTAATCGAGTTTGGTAGCAGAGAAGAAGCAGTCGCAGCTGCAGCAACAGATAAAAGTCGAGAAATCATGGTAGCTTGTTCGATCAACACGCTTGATGGGTTGCTACTGGTTGTCTGATTGGTTGATTCTTGATTCTGATCATCGGATACCGTACTAGAAATCACTTCATCCTGATTTAAAGTTTGAGGACGTTCAGCTTGCTCTGAAGGACGAGCTGGTGGGTTGGGTATTGATTGATCAGGTACGTTCCTAGCGACCACCATCCCTTGTACATATATTCTTCGTGTAGGTACTTGGACCCCAGATGTCGGACGGGCCGTTGTAGCCGTTGGCGTGTCGAGATTAGGTATAGCTTCGTTCTGATGAAAGAGAAATGGGACAAACAAGTCAAGGATGAATCAATAAATAGGATAGCTGAATTCACGTACCTGTTGTGTTGAGGAGAGGTCAAGTCCCAGACCTGTTTCCTCATTATGTTCATGTTCTTCATGAACATGTTCCAAAGATGGTGAAGAAGAAAGAGTGTTATTGGTGAGGTGCGGATTAGATGAAGAGAGAGCTGATGATAAGTGATCAGTAGTAGTAGAATGCGAATGAAGTGAAGTGAGAGTGTTAGGGTAAATTGAAGAGTGAGATGGAAGATCTTCTTTTTGATCTTGAATGAGATGAGAATCAGTTAAGATTGAAGGTGATGAAGTAGTGGAGCTGTTTGGAATGATATCAGAAGTAGATGGTGAATTAGAATTAGAATTAGAATTAGATGATTGAATGGTAGTTATAGTTGAGTTGAGAGAAGGGAGTGGAGATTGTAGATCGATGAGAGGTAAGGCTTGGGAGTTGGACTGCTTTCGATGATGAGTTTGATCAGGAGTTGAGACAGGAGTATCAAAACGAGGTATAGATGATCGATGAGATGATCGACTAGGAGAGAATGAGTGTCTTAGAAAGGTGTTCCAAGATGGTCTTCTATGATGACGAGGATGACTAGAACTGGTTGGAATTGATGAGGAAGGGGTAACAGATGAAGAGTTGGGCGATGATGATCCTGAGTTTAAACAAGTTTGTTGTGAAATTGAAGATGTTGAAGTTGGAGGTTCAGCAGTGGTTGAACGACGATGCGTTCGTTTGAGAATAGAATGTAAAGGTAAGAATCTATTAGTATTTCTAGATTGATTGAGGTTGATTTGATTGTTAGGCTGATGATGTTGATTTGGATTAGATTGATTGATTGAGATTGAATGGTTAGATTGATGATGAATAGGAGATGAAGACGATCCTGAGATTGAAAGGATTTGATGATTTGAGTTATTAGTTAGATTAGTATTATTGGTGGAAGTGGATCCATTAGTCAAAGCTGAAGTTGATCTAGATGAAGTTGATGTTTGATTTCGATGATGATATCCTAAGAATGAACGATGACGACGATGATGTTGATGTTGTTGTTGATGATGTTGTTGACTTGATTGAGCTTGTCCCATGTTAATAAATGTTGACACAATGAACAATTTCTTTGATTTCGTATTTAATTACACTCGATTGACTTTGATATTAATTTAATTTGTTCTCTCGTTGATAGTGATATCGATTTGTGTTCTTTTCTGTTGGAGTTTCTTTCGTACCTTTCGTTTCTTGTTTTCTTATTTTCTTGCTGAATACTTTGAACTTTGATTGAGAAGAAGAAGGAGTAGTAGTTGTCGTTGGTCAACAGGACAGTCAACGGTCAACAGTCAATTCAATTCGATCCCTCCAATTATTAACCAAGATTATGTACTTAAGACTAATTATCAATCTGATTTAAAACCTTGGCTATCTATCACTTAAGTACTTTGGAATCGAACCTAATCGAACTCAACTTGAACTTCTCTTTCAATCCAAGTGTTTGAAAATGTTTTATCAAATGTTGGTTAGAAACTGTTGATATGGATTGCGGTTGTCAGCGAAGATAGTTGGATTAGCTATGAATATTGTGCTCATAGACGTTTGATACCTCAAAAACCCAGAAAGAACTTCAATCTGGACCCCTGGATCCACACATGGAGGTCATTTCATTAAACCATTCTGGTAAAACTGATCATCCAATCTGTCATCTAGAGACTAGTGTCCAAGAGTCCAAGCATCGCTAACAGCCTCGTTTCTGTTTTTGAAAAGAATTTTTCCAATGTTTTTTTACTCAAACGGCGCGTCCCGCGCCTCCTGCTCTCTGGGCGCACAAATCACGCGCCCTGCACCTGACCTGCATCCCTGGTTATTACTCCGGCTTGATTCATCATTCAGAGAATATACAGTCAACTCCCTCTAATTACATACAGTTTGGCGGGTGGTTTTTTCATGCACTTAAAGGAATATGCACTTATAGACCTCATTTTGGCTTGAAAACCCCTTTTTGGCGGCAAAAAATCCTATGCAGATAGAGAATTATGCACTTATAGGGATATCAACTTAGAGGGAGTTGACTGTATTCCTTGAAACAGCTGACTTGACCAAGTCGAAACAACCAAGAGCTCAACGAAGACTCTGAGGCCCTCGGACTGAGATGATCGGGTGGTGGAATTGAAATTGTTCATACGCTCTCATGAGCTCTCATGGTCCTCATTTGCGTTCTCGATCGCTATAGCCTCATCAAACACCGCTTCAAGCAGCTCCCAAGCTCGGCCCGCCCGACAAAAGGTTAAAACATGATGATCAGCTGGAGAGTTTTGCCCAGGGGTACGCAACGGGCGGACGTACAAAACATTATACACGAATGAGCTTTTACAAGTTGTTCGATCGTCTTCATCTTTAAAATATGACATTGAGACCATCGCGCTGAGACAAACATTTTGCTGGTGAATCTGTGATTACCGACAAACTCTCATTAACTTTATTAGCCTTCTCGATCGCAACCCTCGCCAGCCTCCGAGTTGTTCCCGGCCACCCGACAAAAGACTTGTCCCATCCAACACTTTCAGATCTCATTGTTCGTGACGAATCCTTCTCACACCATTAATTTCACACTTGAGAATTCTACCCTAGTCTTTCCCTCAACATGAATATATATATTTTTCCAAGCGCACTGCTTTTTTTGGTTCTTGTTTCCTCTGTCTCCTCAGGTCTGCATGGTTAGTTCTGAAAACTTATTTTCAACCGTTTCTAGAGGTGCAGCTTACAAATGATCTGGGATCGGGACAGGTCTACAGGATGCCAGAGCTTTGACTGACTGTTTTGCAAAGCATTTATACAGAGAGGCAAAACAAGATGAATCTCCTGATGCTCTTCTTCATCGTGAGGTGAAAATCATTTGTCCTGGAAAGAAAACAAACAGAAAAGGTCTGTTTGTAGTGATAGTGAACCTCTCCTTGATCATGCCTTCTTTTGATACCAAATTTCATGTGATGTTCCTCAAATCTGTCGAATATTTTGTCAACTATCAGATTTCCTAGGTGACGTGCATGAAGGCGCCTACACATATTTGAAAGGTTCAATCGAATCTAGTAAGCAGCAGTGAGGTTTCCACAATGATATCAGGGGAGATACGAGCTGGACATCTGATGCTGTCTTATTTCCACGACATAGGTTTTTCCCACGCCATTGACATGAAAAATGTTAATCTTCACTTCATGAAGGATGGGAAGCCCTCATTCAGTGTGACAGTTGAAAAAGAGCACAAGGTACCAAAACTTAAGACTATAACAATCTTGTCGTTTCTTCCGAGGAAGTAAGCATATGCATATAACTCTATCATTGTATAGTGTGAGCTATGATTTTGGAGTACATCTTACAGTGTCTTTTGAAACTCTGGAATAACATGTCACAAGAAGCCAGAATTGTGTGGATAGCTAGCTCCAGTGATAATGATTCCATTGGTTGTTTGAAAGTCAAACTTGCACACTACATCATGGAATATCTTTTGCTCTAGACTCTGCGCTCACTGGAGAGGAGTGATGAAAGGGTAGGGTCTGCATTGTGCTATAATGAATATTAGTGCTGATGACTTCCTAACTAGTACAGCTTACCTCTTGGTGTGAGCTATGACAGCCTCTTCCATTTGTGGGCTGAATGCTCAGGTTGAGCTTTGAGAATCTGAAAGCTGATCTTCAACCTGATCAAACCATAAACAAGCAGAAAGTGTCAGGATTTTCAATTTGATGACCTCATGCAGAGCTCCTCATACTGACACCAAAAGTTTTACACTGGACCCCAGACAACCTGGCTCTAACAAGCATAGATGTAGGCCCTTTGCTTGACACACCACCTTCAAACTGTGAATGTCACCTGAGATGTTTCTCTTGTAGGCTCATTCTCAACTGCCCAAGTTCTTAGTGTAGTGAAGTGTGAGTGGTGCTTCTGAACCTCAAGCTCATCATCACATGTGTGTTACTGTTGATTCTGATGATGTCCCACCTAGGATATATGACCCTTTTGTGAGCTATGTCAGGCTTTTGCATTTTAGTCAAAAATAACTTTCAGAAACTCAGATCTGATATTCAGCCTGATTGATCCATAACCATCAAGAGGGTGGCTGTGTTTACCAGCTCAATACCACACTCATTCTTTATAAATTAGCACTGATAGATGTCCTCCTTTTAGCCCCAACTTCTTGCAAGTTCAGCGCTATTGGATTGGTCAGTTCTACATTGGCTAAGACTACATTACCTGTTGGGCTCAAATTTAGTTTCATTCTGTTGCCCTCCCTCAGAACACCTGGCTGAATGAGTTTTACCCTTCAAACAAAGGATAATCAATACCATCTTGATAACTTTCATTCGCATCTGAACATTTCATAACTGAGTTAATGATATGGATTTGGGATTTCAAGTGGAATAGCTTAAAAAAACTGCCCTCTCCCAAAGCCAGTTCCTTCTGTTCCGCTCTTGTCTATGATCATCAATGATCACCTCATTCCTGTTCCTTGTCCTTTGTGTCTTTCCTGACATGTGTAAGTTGATTCAAACACAACATGAGAAACAATTTACAATCACTGTGTCGTACACGGTAAGATTAGTCCAGACCTCTAAATTCTATAATAGGGGTACACAAACATCTCAACCTGACCTAATAAAACCCATGGCAACCCAATTGATTTTTGGATTTTTTAGTGCCAAAAACTCAAAATCAATCGGGTTGGCACGGGTTTTTTGGATGGGTTTTTAAGGTTGGGTTGAGATGTTTGTGTACCCCTAATCAGGGGAGTCAATAAGCCAAGTTTGAATGATGTGTCACAAGCCATTAACACATCTGAATTCAGAACTCATCTGTTGTTGGAAAAAGGAAGAGATGAAGATGTATTGGGAATAGGATTACATAGTTTCCGGTTTGACTGTTTGTGTACGTATTATAGGCTACAAAGTATAGGTTGGATCTAAAGGAACAACTTGCTGGAGGGAGGGAGGGAGAAGAACCTGTGCATACATATGGACAACAGGATGAATCTTCCTCAAGCCATCTGAAGCCGGAATGCGGCGCCTGTCTGGTCTCAGTGTCACCGGGTGCACGCGCATGTCCAGTGACTGCGGACGCGTGCACTTTTTGACGGAGTGTCAGAATGTATGTTGTGCACTCCACTCCAGCTTTGTTTTATTTAGGGTTTTCAAACCTCAGAAATTAATCCGTGCAACTTTTGTGCAACTTTTGTGCAAGTTTTTTTAGCATCTTGCACAATACTTGCACAAAAGTTGCAGACTTAAGACTTACATATCTTGACATAACAAAGCCCCGTTGCAACCAGGGCACTGAGGCCAATAGTCTTAGAGTTCACTCTCTTTTTCCCTGAAGATCACGCAAAGCCATAAGATACATACAGCAATGGCTGATCCTCCTCCGCCTGCAGGTCAATCCTACCTAACTCCCATACATCTCGATCCAAACCTTCAAGTACTATCCCCGCACATTTCCAATTCAACCATTTCCACCTCCCCCTTGCAAATCGTATCTCCGGCCAACTGGGTTCAAAGCCCAAGTCCGATCCCTCACCAAGGTCTTCAGCTTGCACTCATCCCACCTTCGGTAAATGCAACTGGCTGGAGCTTATCCCGATCTAATTCAAATACTATGGATGTCTCTCAAACACTTCCTTCAAATTCTTTGGCTCACGAAGGTCCGAGTGCTGATGCACCAAAGAAGAAGCGTAAATATACGAGGAGGAAGATCTCAAACACAACACAAAAACCTACTACGGAATCAAAAGAATCAAATGATGAAAAAAAAATACTTCGTGGAAAGCTGAACTCAATTCTGAGGGGAAGAGTGCTATTGTTCTGATAATTGAATGGTTGGGAACTGCAACTACAACCGGTACACGTTATGATTGGTGGAAGGGAGAGATGGATACCAACACACGAACAATTTACAGCAAGAAAGACATTGGTGAGAAGATTTCTGAGTACTTGGCTGAGCAAGGTTTATCAAGACGAGATGGGAAAGGTGTAGAGACCCAGGTAGGTCAATTTCAAAGCTCTCTACATTTAAAATGTTGGCTAAAGGATGTACATGAGGATTTGAT